TAAGCACACCTGGTGCTGCGCAAAGACATTGGGACTGACAGCACTGACTGGAGATGCTTTTGAAATTTGTCTTGGGTCTTTGAGAAAAGAATAGATGTGACAGTGTGCTTCAAATAGATAAGTCGCATGCCGACCATTACATCAACAAACACTGCTGCTCACCCAGTTTCCTTCAGTGTAAAACATTTCAAACAAGGAAAATCTTGAGAGTAGAAATGACTGACCATTATCTACACCATGAGAAACATTTAATTGGTCCCCCACTGCACCGAAAACAGTAATGTGTCGTCGGACGCAAAAGCTTTGCACCAGTTAAATATATCCAGGTGAGCTTAAAAGTAGGGGTGCACCGATATATCGGCTGGATGATTTATCGGCCAGATGATTTATTGGCCAGATGATTTATCAGTCCCAATTTCCTTAATTTTGGGAGATCGACCGACACTTACGTGAGAAACCGATTTCACCAAATTTTTTTCTAGTTTTAACAATAGTCTAAACGTCATTTATATTTCAGAGCACTATTGGCACATGGCAGGTTAAAACAAGTTTGTATTGTTTCTAGGATATTGTTCAAAGGTTTGTTTTTCACTAGAATAATATTGGAAAATTGAAGGTGTATTGTGACCTTTTAGCACCTGACCATGTCGCTTATAAAAAACAAAATCGGTATCGGACAAAATCACAATTGGCAGGTCAGACTTTTTACAGATTGGTGATAGGACAGAAAATTGCAATCGGTGCACCCCTACTAAAAAGCTTATTTGGCTTTTTAGAAGCCTACAAATAATGATTAGTCTTACTTTATTGGTTAAACCTGAAAAATAATGTCATGCACACTCTCATGTGATATCAGTATGTGTTATGAACGACTCTCGGCTACATGTCATATTTTAGCTCAGTAGCTGTGCAATTGTTTAGAGATAGCCATTTTTGTGTGAGCTCGGATTGACTAGCTGTGGTGGTCACCTTTAGCTGGTTTGACTTTAAAAGTAAACTAAATAAACATATTAACCACATGTACACAAACCAAGCCTAATGAAACCTCACTCTAAAACTGGGAAGGAGCAGCATTACTGTCTTCTACACATAGGTTGTTGTTTATTGTGGTACCCAACTCCTCAAAACTGTGTTTACATTGAGGCAGACCAGATAGAAGAAGTAATATTAGAGATTCGTGGAGAGCAGAGCAGCAGCCGAGCACTACGGGAGAAGTCCGGAAGTGGAAAACAACGCCAGGAGGTCCAGCGTCTGGATGCAGACAGTCAAAGAGTAGTGTTGCCTTGACAACTGTGATGCCTTGCTGATGAAAATAACATAGCAGCTTGCAGCCAGCACCCACAACGGTGTGTACACAAATATATTTATTTATGTGGTTCCGCTGCATATACTGTTTGAGGGATTACGTATATTTAAACATACTATTTGAACAACAGTGCAAACAAAAACTCAGAATCCTGGCTAAAAATGATTTCTGTGGTTCCTTTTATCTCATTTTTCTACTGTCATAGCTGAATGACTGATGACAAAGACACAACAAAAATGCCTATAATGTGATTAATTTTGCAGATATTAACCTAAAATTTGGTGTGGTAGTAGCTGAGACTGATACTAACACATAATGGGCACTAACTGATTGCTTTGTTTAAACTTTGTCGTTGCCTATTTGGAATTAATTCCATCAGTCTGTTAGCAAAATATCTTATTAATCACTGAATTAATTTTAATGAAAGGTTATCAATAGATGCACTGTACATCTATGACTCATTAACCTTTGGAGACAACCCAATTCAAGAAAGCTGTCATAGCCAACTGACCTTAAACGCAACCTAATCAATTTTACAGATACCGTGTTAAAATATGGTGTGGGTACTACAGCAATATTTTCCAATCTTGGGTGAGATTGTGCAGTGAAGCTTTAGTTTTAAGGTTTGACTAAAGCAGTTACAACTTTCCCAACAAAAGGTAATTTTAGTCTGTAACTTTGGCATGATAGGTGCCAGACAAGGTGCGTAAATGCTAAACCTTTATAATTTACTGAATCATTCATCACCAGTGAAATCTACAACAAATGTGCTCCCTTTTTTTTTTTTTTTTACAGATTTATATTGCACTCGACAATCCATCTGCTCACCCAAAACACAGCAGGATCTGATCAATACAGCCTCGGGAGACAGAGACTGTGGCTGCTGTGGTCTCCCACATTGACGGGAATAATGGATCAGCTTTTGGGTCACAGAGGACTCATTGTAGCAGCAGCATGACCACGGAGGCTTCCTGCCTCTGCACCTCTTTGTTTCAACTCTTTTAATTAGGGAGCTGGGCAACAGAATTCCCTAACAGGCTTAACTATTGGGCAGCCATTGCAGCCAGAACTGATTGTCCAATTCAGGATTTAGCCAGTAAAAAGCTTTGTATGACCAATGCATAGCGCTTTACTTTGTCAGGGTGCTGAGCTTTTATGTAATATTGCATCAGAGCGGCAGTAACAATTAAATGACCTGGCCTAAAAGCAGGTGTTTACAGAAGAAGAAAATCCTACTGAGGAGTTGATTTCAGATGCTCTGGTGAGCTTTCACTAAGGGTAAAACATGATTTTGTTGGCCAATAGTTTGTTAAATGACTAAAATGTCATGTGATTTCTTGTTGACTTGTCTCACGAAGCAAAACAATCTATTTCATGATTTTGGTGAAATTATTACAGAAAATGTCTCTGTCATTTTAAATTGTGTAGAAGTTATTTAACAAAAAGCACCTGACTTAAGTCATGTTGTCCAGCAGCCTCTACAGCTACGTGCTGAGAGGAAAAGTCTCTGTCCCTCTTTTACTTAACGAGGAACATACGAAATGCAGAGTTTCCACCGTAATTTTGTAGACTTTTAAGATGAGAAAATAAAGTTTGAATCTTTTGTGGATATGTCTAAATTGAGAAGAATGCAACCAATCAAACTTTGAGGTGGAGGTGAAAATAAAAATCCAACTGTACTGTTTACCAAGTTCCCCAAACCTCTTCCCTTGCAAGCTATTTAATTTAACTAGGTCTGTGTTTCTGGGTGGAGTTTGCATGTTCTCTCTGTTAATGCGCAGGTTTTCTCCGGGTACTCCGGTTTTCTCCGGGTACTCCGGTTTTCTCCGGGTACTCCGGTTTTCTCCCACAGACCGAAAACATGCATGTTAGGCTGATTGGTAACTCTAAATTGTCCCTAAGTGTGAGTGAGAGTGAATAGTTGTTTGTCTCATTTGTCTCTGTGTCAATGTGATCGACCGGAGACCAGTCCAGGGTGTACCCCGTCTCTTTCACAGTGATTGCTGGACATAGGCACCAGCGACCCCCGTGACCTAAAACGGAAGAATCGGGTAAAAGATAATGGATGGAGAGGTCTGTGTTATTCAATGTGACCAACACTTTTTCACTGATGAAAATATTAAAAACACACAAATGAGTTTCACTCTAATGTCCTCTTTGGTCTTAGATTTCCCATGCATCTGAATCTGAGACAAATTCCTTCATAGCTTTCACCGCTACAAAGTTTTTGCCTGTAACCACATTGTTTTTGTTTTCTTCTGTGATTTTAGGATGAAATTTTAGCACCAATTTGAACTTTCATTGGTGGGGTTTGGTAGCTATTTTGATGGGCTGTGGTCAAATCTTTTATTAGAAATCAGTAAAAACATAAAGATGCAAGTAAGCCTTAATTTGAAATGTG